TCAAAAGTACAGTAAGGTCCTGAATAATTCTTCAAAGATGAAAAGTATACTGCAGATTGTATTCACAGAGGGAGAAAGATGGACCCAAGGAGAAAATTTAAAAAAAAACAATGACGAAAAAGGTGGACTGTTTGGCTCATCTTAACTAGCGTATCAGCATTCTCCACTCCTCTTAGTGAGCACTTGGTAAATGTCTATGTCCTAGAATCAGCAGTCCACCTCTGACAGAAGTGTAGAGTACTCCGTTCTGCAGGTGGCAGAGAACCTACCAAACTGCGGAGCTCTGGAGCTTCCATTTCCCCAGGTAGCCCAGGCGGGAAACCAGGATCTGTGATTCAAAGGCTCAGAACAAATGTTTCTTAGCTCCGAGCCTTCACACACAGAATGGAGTTGTGATTAATACTCTGGGAAAGGAAAGGAAGTTCTGCACATGTGGTGAGAAATGAAGCCAGGGTTTGAAACCAAGATGGTCAGGCCCTTCTCCACGTCGGCCTCTAGGCTGCCATTATTATATCACGCACAAGGAAGCAAAGTCCTAGGGCAAGAGACCCTCTGACAGAGGGAGTGGCAGGCGCGGCCTCTGCGAGGGCTCTGCAAGCATTTGCGGATGTGGTGTGTGATCTGCGGGGGCCTCTGCTCTCTCTATGCTCAAACACTCCCAGCAGTCTCTCATGAGTTTGCCATGCTCGTGAGAGTGAAGGGTGGTTTTGCTCGAGACTGTGATAGGCAGCAAGCTCCTTAAATTGTAAACAGTCCTAGGAGTAGGAGCGATATTCACTTGCTGTACAGGAAGATTAGTTGAGTAGAAATAAGCGGTCCAGTCCATGGAGAAATATGGAACAGAGTGAGTATTTATAATGGTGCAGATGGGGTAGAACAGGAGAAAGCACAGAAAAATCTCAGAAAGGGAGGCTGGGTTGTGGTGGGTCTTAAAGAGGCAATCTGTTGGGTTTGGGGTGTCCTGTAGTTACGGGGCACAGACAAAAAGGAAGCAAGAGCATGCCAAAGAAAACTCTCACTGCTTCACCTTTTGGCCCCAAGGACAGTCTTAAGTGATTAGGGAGGGGGCAGCCAGGCCACATGCTGATTAAAGTCATTTGTTCTGAGACATCTTCCTGGGGCTGCATCCCCTTCGCACAACAAGCAGATGGGTTTTTCTTTTGGCTTGGGGAATTACTTGCTCTCAGGTTGCACATCTTCATAGGAGTGCTTGGCAAGTGTGGGTAAATGCCATCAAAAATCTGGCCTTGTTGTGAAGATGGTCTCTTAGCATGTACACAGCACTTAGCGCCTTGCCAGGTACCATGCCCAGAGTACAACTGCCAGGTACCATGCTTAATATCTCATTTAATTCCGAAACAACTCCATTAACAAGTTATATACCGTAATTCCCTATTCCCTAATGTGGAAAGGAGGGCATAGAGAAGTCCAGCAGCTTCCTCACAGTCATCATGGAGCTGGGATTCAAACTCAGGTCCTTTTCTGCAAACTTTTCGATGCTAACCTCTACATACTTTGGTCTGATCACCAGGCATATTCTCCTTCCTGTTATGGTGGTGAGTTAACTGCTGGAATCCCAACACCCTGTTAATATATGAAAGGTATATAAATTAGCCATTCTTGACCTTTTCAAATACCAAATAAATTTTAACAAGCATTTTTATAAAACTTTTATTACAATTAAAAAATGAACAAAGACAATTTGATAAGTGCCTTTAATTACAACATACCTGCTATTTACATGTAATCATACTTTTATATATAGCTTGAATAGTTTTATTACATGTAAACGATAAGATATTACAAGTTAAACTGCAGTCTTTTCTGGATATTCAGAATTGAAATACCACTGGCAGAAACACACAGAAAACAAATATCCATTTCAGTTCCTCAGGTACCATTACTGGTTGAATGATCAAGATCTGGCCACAGAAGAGAATTGGAAATATGTATCAAAACGAAACTTACTCATAACATGACTAACAGTATTATTATTTAAACCCTAAACATAATTAATAATTGGATCATTAAAAACACAACTTCGATTTATATAGCACCTTTCTTCTGAAGAGTTGAAAGCATTCGTGCTTATCTCTATTTTCTCATTTGTCCCCATAATATCTCTATGAGGTAGGCAATGGTTGGTATCATTATCCCCATTCGGTATATGGAGAAACTGAGGCACAGAGAAGTTAAATCATTTGCTTGAGGTCACACAGTAAAGTTAACGCTGGAACAGGGACCATAGCCCTGTGCTGTTGTCTGCAAAACCAATGCTTCTCTTTAGATTAAATTGTCCTATATGAGAATTTAATTCAACAACCCAATATACTTTTCCAATAAATAAAAAAATGTGCATTTTTTCCACCCATAACAATTTTTGAAATATTATGAGCAAGACACAAACACTCTGGGATGGATAGTAGATGGATGCTACACTCTTCTAGAAAGAGCTTATAGAAATGTTTTTTATTTTAATATGAGGAGTTTCTTTTCCTAGTTAAAACAAAATAGATGTCTTTACAAGAAATATATTTGAAAGAATGCTTCTAGTCACCTACCCAATTACAGCTCCAGTAGCCATATAATGTTATCTACAAACCAGATGTATTCCTGAGTTTAAAAAGAAGAAACAATCTAAACGATAAGTTAAATCTTTGAGATATTTTTTCTCATTTACACACATTTGCTGTTACTCCTTAAGAGACTCAGAGTGGCAGACAAGGGAATTGGGCCGATACATTTCCCAGAGAGACATGAGAACTGAGACACACAAGGGCAGGAAGCTGGAATTTTGCTCTAATTCCTACTCCCTCTGCCACTACAGAGTCAACTACATGGTTGATACTTGAAGAAAAAAAAAAAAAAAAAGGTAACTTTTAAAAAGTGTCAAGGTTGGAAGCATACTAGAACGCTCACGAATGTTTGTTGACTTGAATGTAAAGTCAGCTTTCCTGCCGCTTTTCACATTGCTTCTCCTCAAGACCTGCGCACTGCTGCAGGTATGGCCGTCTTCCGGGACAGGGGCAGGCTGTGGTGGAGCAGCACACAGGAATTAAATCCCAGCATGGCCCCAGGAAAAACAAGACAAGTCCCACATTCAAAAAGCGAAGTTAAAAAAAGCAAGCATGCTTAAGGGATGGGTCGTGAACACCACGTCAGGCTCATTTATGAGTCTTCCATTAAAAATACATAGAAGCTTGTCAAAGGAATGTTCAAAATCCTCAACCCACAGACTCAGGTTGTTGGTCCTAGTCTCTTCCTCTAGGGAAAGCACTGCTGTCTTTCAGGGAAGCCTTCACTACCTAAATGAGGAGCTGAAGATTAAAAAATACCTCTTTAAACTTAAGAAAGGAAAAGGAAATAGTTTGCTTTAAACTCACGGTTTCCAACTTGTTGAGTTAAAAAACAAACCAAACCAAACCAGGACATTGCAACAAGACAGTTCTGAACGGCAGCTTCCAGGGACCAGCTGGTCCGTCTTTTAGCCTTGACTGTGTCCTATTTAGGGTTCCTAACAGGTATACTAGGTGAACTTTAAAAAACTAAACGGATAAAGAGAATGAGCAGGAATATCTGTTCTGCTAATTTTGAAAAAAATTACACACTAGAATATCCATTCAAAGAATTAACTGTGATGACTTACAGCAAAGTTTTAAAGGACCACAATGAAACACACCCTGGCTTCTGATGTATGTAGAAAATGAGAGCTTCAGCAGCTATCTCCCATTCACCTATCCGAGTACCTAGAAGGTACTTGGCTTCTCACTCTAAAATCAGACACTTTGCTATAAATGGCCAAGTTATTCTCCATATCTGGTAGCTCTATTTTGCATGCTGAAGCACTCTAGTTTTCCTAGGACCTGGGAGAGCAGAGCAAACCAGCTGTAACTTGACATCATCCTTAGGCACTGTTTCCTGGGGGAGAGGGTGCAATGGCTTCATAGCAAAAACATTTTACACTCAATTTACTTTAAAAATGGTGTTTTTTTTTTTTTTTTTTTTTTT